GAGGCACCAATCTACAAAGGGACAGATGGGAACACAGAAAACAAACAAAGCTCTTCAGAGACTTCACAACTTTGTCAAGAGAAGGTTCTGTTTACCATCAGTTGGGAGGGAATAAACAGCAGCTTTGTGGAAACATGTTTGCTGTGTTTGGTACCAAGATGCAGAGTTCAGTTTCCAGGAATCTTGCTAATTTATTGTGAGTATATTGTCAACATTCTTATATAGATTTTTTTTTCTTTCAAAAGATCTTTTTTATCCTCTTGGTCATAGTTCCTTCTCAATAACAGTTCATTGAGTCTGTTTGAAGGTGAGGGAACAGAAAATTTACCTGGTTTCAAATTTTGAAAGAAAATATTTAAGAAATACATATGCTTTGAAAGATATCACATTTTACGAAAACTTAATATTAGGAAACAAAAAATTGAATTCGAATTGTACGTGTATTTTTCAAGAAAGTACCATCAATTTTCTGGAGAAGAACTTATAAATTCAGATTTTTTAAAAAAAATCCTTGAAGAATCCTGAAAATATGTGGTATGCATTGCTCTTTATGTATGTTCATTGTATATAAAATAACCCCATTTGCCAAACATACATCAGTATTTATTTTATTTTGACTAATCAGCTGGTACTTAATAATTCTATACTACACTATTTTATTACTTTTCTCTGGCTAGTCTATTGCAGCAAAGATTGTTGGTTTTCTATAACTGAAGTCTAACCCTTCTTATCACATCCACTCTGGCATGCTTACAGGGTGATGAGTAGCCAGTGATAAGGAGAAGAGGGAGGGAGAAAAGAGAAAACAGATAGGACAGGTGTTGCAAAAAAATTAATGTCACAGCCTTGGGTCTGTCACTGGAGTTTAAAACTCTGCTCTACCACCAAGTTGCCTGGACATCAGTTCATTCATCTACAAAATCCATCAGTTGGATTCAACTATAGGTTGAGCATCTCTAATCCAAAAATGCAAAGCGCTTCAAAATCTCCAACTTTCTGGGCACCGACATGACATCACATCTCACCTCATGTGATAGGTGGCAGTGAGAACGCACGCTCACTAAAACATTGAATAAAATTAGCTTCCAGCTATGTGCACAAGGTGTATAGGAAACAATAATGAATTCCATGTTTAGACTTGGGTCCCATGCCCAAGATATTCATTCTATATATGCAAATATTCAAAAATTCAAAAACTCTGAAATCCAAAACACTACTGGTCCTAAGCATTTTGGTTAAGGGATGGTCATCCTGTATTGCTAAGATTAACACTGATTCTGAAGTACTGCACTATTGTCTATGGAGAAACACTTCTTTTCCTTTTACTTGAAGCCCCTAGTTTAAAAGTAGTAATAATCAGATATCCCTGTTTAATATGTCCCAAATAATACTATATTGTAACCTTATTATTAGCCTCAGCTTAGGAAGAAAACTCATCCTCACACTGACATCTCTTAAATCCAAATGGAAAAACATGCTGGGCACATACTCTTAAGGGCTGGCTGCACCACAGACTTCAAAAATGAGGCATGCATATGTCCAAATTGTTGAACAGACTGACTGACTTTTGACCTGACTTAGCATTATTTGAAGCAGCTTACTGACATTGCCAATAACATTATAGGTAATAGAACACACATCTTGTAACTGAATCACAGATAATGCTGAGCAACATGAAGAATCCAGTAAATACATGTTTAAAGTGTAAACTGATCAAACAGAATAGCTACTGAAGGTTCTGGTAAGACACACACACAGATTGCCTTTTTTTCATATTCAAGAGGCACTTTTTAGGATTCCTAAATGGCTGCCACCACGGTCTTGCTTTAAAAAGCCTCAGTAGTTTCTCAAAATGTCACATTCACCAAAAGACCACATCTATTTCACTCAATAAAGATTTAGCCTAATATTACTGGATATGTTAATAGCATCAAAAAAAAAGTATAGAATAAAGCATGCCTTCCAAGAGACTGAATAAAAGAGAAAAACAGCCTTTTAGAATCAGTAGGTACCACTCTAATCAGAAGCTTGTACTGTCCTTTTCAATCCTAGTAGAGAAACAATTAATAAAGGAACCCATTAAGACCTGATTATTGCTGCTAAAAAAAGGAAGGTAGAATTTCAGTCCTTTGAAGTAACTGAGAATGATTCAGGCCTCATTACAGAGATATAATCTACATTCATACATTTATGTTAGTGATTCAAATCTATTGGGAGAGATTGAATTCCGTTAAATAGTGCATCTTTCCTGTGGAACTTTTCTCAGGCTTTCTCGGGCTAACCTAAGAGGTGACCTAACAATGCAAAGTAGTGGGGTATTTAGGGATTCAACTGTGCTGTAAAAGAAAGGCTGTACAGAAGAGAAAAAGAAGAATGAGATATAATCTAAAAAGCTATGTCAGCTTTTCCATTGGGCTGTTTTGTAAAGGCCCTTCCTGTCATCACGCTGTGCAGAAGAGCAGGGAAAGGGCTCTAGAACTTTCAAGCCCTGCACCTGCTGTAGCTATACTTGAATATGGAAGTTTTGACCATATTATTTTTCCAATTTTAGACAGGAAGAAAACAAAATTTACAGCTAAAAGATCTGACTGACTTACATTGGAACAGAAAGTTGGTAGATGTGTGTCTGTGTGCCTGTGTGTGCGTAAGAGAGGGACAGACAAACAGACTGGTTTTAGGTTATATTAAAATCCCAAGATGGTATCAAAAGTGTTGGTTCGTAGTGTAGAGAAACCCCAAAATAATAACTTCCTGTGTTTTTAAACTTTTGACTGTAGAATGTTTATTCTATGGTTTCATTAAACAATTTAAAAAAATGTTTAATTAGTTGTCAATTAATTTAATTAGTTGTCAATTCAAATACTTGGATTCTTCTAAACTATTGAGCTGAAACTCAAATCCCTCAGAAACAGTATATTCTTTTATGCTAGTGTTTGCTCAGGTATTAAACTGTGAACTAGGAAATCAAAATTAGCATTGTGGATTCGTTTTTCAATATTCATGCTTTAATTAAAGAACGACTTGTTTAACGTATGCTCTTTATTTACTCAACTTTCCAATTAATAGCTACAGAAATCAGAGTTAATTATATTAAACTTAAAAATCTGTGATGCTCACCACATTGTTGAAATCTTCTGAATAAGCATCTCAAGGAGTTATAAATAATATAATTAAAATCCTGATTCTGATGTTAAATGTCTATTTCAAAGCTCTGAATGCACAGGAAAATATAAGAGCATGCATGTAAAGGCATTTTCCACTCACTAAACAACAAAGTTGGGCAATCATTTTTAATGACCTTCTCTAATGCTAAATTTATTTGTATTTTCTCCAGTTCACAATAAAGATTGAGGCCAAATGCACATTTAGGGATTCTGGCTTTTGTATACAAGCTCTTCTGATTAGTTCCTTCCAAATTACCGCTGCAGTTGTTGAACTCCCAAGTTCACCTTGAAATATTTCCATTTTAGGTTGGCAGTCTATTGGGTTAAAATATATGAAATTGCCAGTTTTGTACTGGAAACCAGTAAAATATTGGCAATTCATATGCCTCAACAAAACACAGGATCCAGCTGCCTGACATAACATACCAATACATATTAAAGCATTCCATACAGTCAAACTTTCCCTACTTTAGAGGATTCCTTAAACAAGTGGTCCTCTAGGAACTGTATCTTACTCAGATGGGAATGGATTATCACAGGATAATCTTCCTTGTGCCTTTTTACTCTTGGCAAAATCTCCCTAACCTTGGACTTAATTCTGTCTGTACCTGGGCTATGAACTAGTTTCTGTGAGCAATGGGGGAGCTGGGGAGTAGTGTGTGGAAGAGTGAGAAGAGAGGGAGACTGGCAGTGCAGTTAATGTCGCAAAATAAAGCCCTTTAAACATTAAATTTGAAGATTTAAGAAAATGCCCCATTATGGCCAAGTGCAAAGGAAATTGCATAGAACAGAAAACAGCCGAGTGTTCGGCCAAATTGTACGGTAAAAATCTTTGCGATCTCAATAAAGTGCGTTCGCTTTGAAGTGCACGCGTGATTCAGTAAAGGACTCATGTTAGCAATTAGAAATCGGTCATTTGGGTCCTTGATTTCATTTGCTCCAAGAGAGAGGAGACTTTTAAGAGTGACGATAAATCTCCCCGAGCTTAAAAGGCAAAGAGGGACAAAGTGTGAACTTTTTACTTCGGCAACGGAAGCGAGAAATCAGTAATTCATTAAAGCGGAGACCTCCTTGGAGCTGGCAGAAGAGGAGGAAAGGAAGCTAATGAGGTCTCCTTTTTCTGTGCTCGCTCCCACCAGTTCATAATCTGCTGTTTGGGAGGGTTTATCCTCAGCATCTTCAGCTCTCTCCCCAGCCCTCCCCTCTTCGGGGATAGAAAGAAGAAAAAAAAGAAAGAAAGAAAAAGCCTAGCACCAGGTGGCTCTCAAGTATTTCACTGCCAAAAGAAGAAGGGGGGCGGGTGGGATTCTACGCTGGAAAACAAGTGAGAAAGGGGCTCCCCAGAGGGGATTGGTTCGGGCTGGAAGACAGCAAAATTCGGAAAGCGTGAGGACAACCCGCGCCAGCCGCTAGCGGTGCGAGCACAGGACGCCCTCGCAGCAATTAGCGGGAGCCGGAGGCGTCCGCGGAGGCTGCGCCCGCGGCGGCGGCGCGGAAAGGACCCGACAGCCCCCGAGCTCCGTGCAAAGGCATCGCGCTCTCTTCTCGCTCCCCTGCTCTCCCCCCTTTCGGCCCCTTCCTCCCTCCCTCTCCCTGGCGTTCCCAGCAGCCGAGGGTTTCAGATGTCCCACCGCCGTTTGACCCCCTCCCCCCGCTTCTCCACCCCTGCAAATGAGGTTTGACCAGCAGAGGCAGAGCCCACCTCTGGCATTCACTGACATTTAGACTCCGGGCTTCAACCTGTTTACAAGCGGGCTTTCCAAAGGAAGGGGGGTGGAGGATAGGGCCAAACCAAACACCAGCCGCCATCCCCCCCCACCCACCCCAAACAAGAAGTGACTTTCTGGAGGCTTCAAATCAACAGGCACCACCAAAAAGAGAAAGGAAGAGGGAGAAGAAAACAGCGACCGTGCAGCTGCCTCCAGTTCTGACAGCCCCCAAGGGACACACTTTTAGAAGTGGCCAGCAGGCTGGGACTCCGCAGAAAGGGCTCAGAAGGTGCCAACCGCAGAGGAGCGCAGATATCTCCTCCGACCCCTCACCCCACCCTCTTTGGGTTTTGTTCACCGCACTGTCATCTGTTTTTCAGACCCTTGTTGTATCTAACATGGTGAAGAAAGGAGTGAAGAAGAGAACAAAGTAACTCCTGGGGGAGCGGGGAGCTGTGGTGACCAACACCACCACCGCCACCACCAGCTCCTGCTGCCGCGGCCACCCACGTCCACCATTCACCCGGAGACTCTAGAGGCGCAGGCAGCGGATCCGAGAGCGGAGCAAGGAGAGGCAGCCGGCCCTTCCGAGGAGTTATGGATGTTGGTGCATTCACTTCTGACCAGATCCGCGCCCAGAGGGAGCTAACCAGCAGTCACCACCTCCAGCTGTCTCCTCGCCTTGCACCGGGTCTTACCCTTCCAGTATGTTCCTTCTGATGAGACAATTTCCAGCGCCGAGAGTTTCAGTACAATGTGGAAATGGATACTGACACATTGTGCCTCAGCCTTTCCCCACCTGCCTGGCTGCTGCTGCTGCTTCTTGTTGCTGTTATTGGTGTCTTCCGTCCCTGTCACCTGCCAAGCTCTTGGTCAGGACATGGTGTCACCAGAGGCCACCAACTCTTCTTCCTCCTCTTCTTCCTCCTCCTCCTCCCCTTCCAGTGCGGGGAGGCATGTGCGGAGCTACAATCACCTCCAGGGAGATGTCCGCTGGAGAAAGCTATTCTCTTTCACCAAGTACTTTCTCAAGATTGAGAAGAACGGGAAGGTCAGCGGTACCAAGAAGGAGAACTGCCCGTACAGTAAGTAACAAATGCGTGCTCCCCTCCTTCCAATTATCCACCCCCCCCACCCCACACGGGGGGGAAAATCTGTTCCAGATGTGGCCAACTAAATATTTACGTCCCCAACCCCTGTAAAATGATTAAGTGGAATACTTTCACACTAAATAACCCCCCCTCCCATGTATACATTGTGCTGCTGCATCCCCTCCCCTGGGCGCGCTCCCTCTACAACCCCCACCCCTGGCCACCCTATCCGCCCCTTTTCTCTCACTTGTCACTAGCGGGACCACGCAGGGCGCCTGAGAGTTGTTGTAGCACCTAGATGCCCCTTTCTGTCCTCAGTGCCTTCCCCACCTCACCCAAGGTCCCCTTTCCCTCCCGTCTGGAAGTGGCTCAAGTAAACACATTTTGTTTCCTTTCCCTGGCAATCTTAAGAGTTTTGGGACAGGCTTCTCAAGCTGAAAATAATTATCCGCTGTCAATTATAGGGGTTTATGGGAACTTTATTTAAGAAAGAAAAGTCACTTCCTCTGTCCCCACCCCTCTCCCTTTGACCCACCACCTTTAGATAGGAGCAAAAAGCACTTTTCTGGTTTTGATTTTTTTTTTCCTTTTGGGTTCCTGTTGTTGGTTTTGGGGTGATTGCAGTCCATGAAGTTAGTTTTTCAGGCACCACCGCTGCTATTTGTCTTCTGCCTGCCTTCTCTATTGGTAACATGATGCTCATGTCTGCATTGTCAACAGCATATGCGCTGCTTTGTGGTGTCCTGTTGTACTGTTTCTTCTGAAACCTCTCATATTGCAGAGCCATACTACTACAGCATTGTAAACATCTGGGACTGGATTCACACAGACCTCACACAAATTTCATTGTCATTCTTTTATTTTCAAAGTAAAAGTCATAAGTCTGTTTCCATGGCTATAGTTTATCCCATAGAGTGATCTTTTCTTCTCTGATTCTGCGTGGGATCCTTAGATTTCTTTCTTTCCTTTTTCTTTCTCTTTCTTTCCCTCTTTCTTTATTGCAGGGGTGTGGGAAGGATGGGGGAGGGAGAGTGAAGAGAGAAGGGGTGGATATTGTGTCTCTTCTTGAATCAATCCAGCCAAGCCAGATTACTCTGTTGGCTTCCTTTCCTACTTACTTTCAAGTGGTGAGACTTATTCATCCTCTATTGATTGTTATTTGAAAGGATCCCAAGGCTATGTAATGGCACACTGAAGACAGTAGACAATGACATTTAAACATCTTTAATGACCATTTATCTTTATCTCAATGGTAAATTCCAAGTCACCTTTCAAGAGGACCTTTTTGTGTTTAGTGGTTTGGGAATTCTAAGCACACATTTGTCAGTTAACTTAAATACATGGGTCACACATTTCAAGATCTCTTGGCACAGAAAGTACCAGCTACTGATGCAAATGACAGTGGACCAGGATTTAACATTTTATTTTTAAATAAAGTGTTACATGAGGTAAGACTTAGTTTTCTTCCTCTAGGTCTCATATATATTCAACATGAATTCTGTTTCTCCTCAAGTACTGCTTCTATTTTCTAAAATCAGAAATATGTTTACAAGTAATAAAATATTTTAGAAGTATTTTTCATTTTGACTCAACAAAAGTAGCTGAGTAATGTCATTAATGATGATTGTTTTTGCTTGAAAGTCATTTGTTATCTGAATTTCCTAGATACTATGTATGATTTTATAGTTATTGACTAAAAATACGGTATTTTTGTTTACTTCTGAAGCAAAATAATGTGGTGGCATCCAGTTAAGAGGAGGGGGAAGAAGCTGTCCAACCAAACACAGGGTTTGACAGAGTGAGCTGAGGATTTTTTTTTTTTTCCTAAATTCCAATGGACTGAATTTCTATGTATTTTTGGCTCATGAGGGAGAGCTCAAAGAAATAAAATTTCAGAGTGGTTACCTTGAGCAAGCTTTCTTCTTTCTTAAAAAATGATAATAACTTGATTTGCTACATTTTAATTGTCTTTATGACGTGATGCTAAGAAAACTACACTATTTTTATTTTATTCAAGTTAAATTCCTATTATCAAAAATAGTAGGTAATCCTGAGTGATAAACTATTTTGTAAAATGATTTCCACAAATAAATTGAATTTTATTTTTACAGTATGGACTCTCTGGACAGAGAAAAGTTTATAACATTTATTATATAAACAAGCGTAGCAAATTTTTATCCTACCTGTACAAAATATACTAACACCTCTCCTGAATGATTGTGTACTAATTACTAATCATTCCTTTTTGAAAAATAATAAGCTAAATATTAAATAGTAAGTTTTAATTAATGTTTAAAAGTAAAAGGGGAGGGATTATACTTCTAAATGTTGGCAAACTATAAATAATTCAAGCTTTCCAAGAACTTGTGTGTCAAAACCTAGCAAGTAAAAGGTACAGGTTGAAAAAGCCTTAATTTAACATGTGGTCCACTAATCAGAATGCTGCTACAATTTCCAGCTGGACTGATTCAGCTGAACTACATGGTATCATTAAGATATTGTCTAAATGTTGCATAATTACATGTGAACAAACTTTTGCCATGCCCACAGGGAAGCCAGTCAGTCAGCCTGTTAAATATTAGGATATCTAACCCCTGAAGAGTGTCAGTTCCTTGTCCAAAAACCACATTTCAGTAACATTTTCCTAAACAAGTTATTAATTACCTCAATACACAGTGCTCTTCTTTTGAGGTTTGCTTATTTGAAGATATATATATATATATATTTTTTGTTGCTACTCTTGACCCTAGTATTATTGTTACTAAAATACAGTAACAGCTTATCTAAGAGGTTATATGTTTGTGATGTCCTGGGTAATTAAACAACTGTTTTACTGGCTTTTTGCCAGTAAAATGGTAACAAAAGGGAAATAAGGAAACCACCCAGAAGTATTGCAAAATCATTTTTAACTTGTATCTCCAAAGCTAGTTCCCAGAAGTTTGATGGTTCTAAAAATACAATGTGTGCTAAGGAAACTCCTCTCTATTTGGGTGAATATTATAATTTCTTTTCTTAGGAGGGGATGTAATTTTGCTCTTTACCATTTTATGGGAGTAGAAAAAGAGAGCAGAAATGAATTGTTTCTCCTGCTAGAAGTCTGAGAAAGCTTGAATAATTTAGAATAGCTGTGGTGTATCTGTCACTAGATATGTGCAGGCTCATTTAGGTTTTGGTTTATCATTCTTTACATCTAGAGCTTTGCCCTTGAAACATTACCACTCAGATCCAAGTCTGGCCTTCTGGAAAGGCTGCAAACAGCTGTTAGGTACCCTTGCAACTGGGAATGACTGCCTTCTTTCTGAATATAAGGAAAACAGCTGTGAGCCGCTCGCATAGTTGTCACTTGAAGAAAAGAGGGATCTAGTGAAAGGAAAATGTATCTCCAAACTTGAGACAACTAAGGATGGATATACCCCAAACAGCCCAGAGCTTATGTACTTTTCTGAGAACAAGGTATGGGGACAATAGAGAAATTAATATGACCTGAGTATGTGGTAGGTGCCCCATCTCTTTAAACACATATTTCATTTAATAATTTTAATAGTCCAAGGATATAGATATAACTGTCCATATTTTTCAAACATGAAAACTAAAGTTGGAAAAAGTAAATTGTCCAAGGTTAATCATCTAGAAATTGACTGAACCAGAATATAAGCCTAAGCCTATTTGCTTATCTGTCCATATACACTATTCCTCTCTGCTCCCTGCAACATTAATATTGATTTATTAGATCTAGCCCACACCTCAAAAAAAAAAAAAAAAACAGATTAGACAAAATTTTACTTGCTTTTTGCTGTGAGCTCTAGTAGTTTTTAAAATTAAACTGGAATGAAAGTAAAGTAACAGTAGAACAGAAACAAATATGTTAAAGATAACCATTGCAGGTAGCCACATGATTACAGGCAATATTAGTGCACGGTCTCGGTGAAGTCGCTCTCTTGATGCTGTATTTGGGAATACAGTTGCTTCTGGACACACATAAGGTACACATGCATCAATCTCACTTATGTTAACAGAGGTCATTAGGAATACATGACTATTTAAGAAAAATCTATGAATGTCATTTTGTATAGTAATTGTTTACAGCTGAGGGCCAAATGTTTAATTGTTCCCATGTGTAATAAAATAATATGATTGTAAATACCTGTGGGAAATTGGGTTGTTGCATGAACTTCTATTATATGACTCTAAAAAGGGCAACACATTGAGACCCAAAGCTACTTATCTGAAGAATGCTTTTAAAATGAATCTGCAAATCAAAAAGATACTTCAGAACATAAAAATAACAGATTTTGTCTAGGGTTAATCGATCATATTGTTATGTTCTAATCAGGATTACAGCTTATTTTAGGGAATTTAATAAAGTATAAGACAAATAATAGCTGAGGAAAGTAGGGACTCTGATATTGTTTCCTAACAAATACACCAGAGTTTTCTGGGAGGAAAACTCAAAGACAATTTATGGCTTCCATTGGTGTCTTATTTAAGTTGTAGCTGTTTCTAGAATTTGGTTGCATAATTTATAACCGGCAGCATTTAATCATGAGCATCAAGGATTTATGAAGGTAGAAGGCACTGTATTTAATGTTTACACGACACTGTCCTGTTACCTTTACTGCATTCCTACCATATGGACCCTCCGCTTTGATAGCTTTATCATAAATCCATTAAAAATGCACAATTCAAGAGAGTTTCCTCTTCATAAACCTGATTTATAATCACCTATTGAAGAAATCCAAGAAAACAGTTGGCAGAAATTACGTGCCAGTATTGGAATAGAAAAATTCAGAGACACTAGTTTCTATGTCTTCAGTGTTCAGTAAACTATGACTCAAAGGTATGGACCACTCTTTAAAAGCAGGTATTTTAAAAAAATGATGTTTAAACATAGAATTGAAAGAGGAGGAGGAGGAGGAGGAGGAGGAGGAGGAGGAGTTGTGTCTTGTAAAATCAAAGAAACTCCATTGTATGAATATTTTTCTATATTATTACTA